ATTACATGTTAATAACTTGATTGGAATTATAACCTTGAATTGACAGTTTGATACTTTGAAAATTTTGAGCCAGCCCTACCCCCAAGGGCTGTAGGGTGGGGCTCAAAGGAGTCAGTGTGCTAAAATTTCTTCATTTTCCTTGTTAAGAATCAGAGGTGCTAGTTTCAAATCCTTTTTAGTCTGAAATCTGTATGCTAGATATTGAGTAAGGTGGTTTTATTGTTTTTTGTCACTTTGAATAATATTTCTGTTCATGTTAAAAACAAAATCAACTCTCTGTATAAATATATCAGGTGACCGTTAAGGCCCACGGGCCTCTTGTTGCATGAATGATCAGTATCTTGTGTAGTTGTGCACCGGCATTTTAATTTGGGATTTCGACCCTTTTTGATGGAGTTATGCCCCTTTGTGCGAAATACTTGTTACTGGTGGGAGACTGTGTATTGCTTTGCAATGCTTTGACTTAGTAAGCCTTTAGCTTACAGTTCTGGTTTAAATAGCAGCGGGGGTATTAGTTAGCCTTCGACTTACAGTTCTAGTTACAATTTGGATTGTCCTCTTTCAATAAAATCAAAGAAGAAATGCCATTACAACAGATGGGCCGCTCTGAAACAGTTCAAAATAGTATTGCCATGAATGAAGAAGAGTGCTGGCATGAGTGCTGCATGGCTTGTCGGTGGTCCTGCAGATGTATTTGTTGAACTCTCCAATGGGAAGGAGACGGACACTGTCCTGCAGGTGTGTTTGTAAAACTCTCCAATAGGAAGGAGATGGACACTGTCCTGCATGTGTGTGTTTGTAAAACTCTCCAATGGGAAGAAGATGGACACTGTCCTGCATGTGTGTTTGTGGAACTCTCCAATGGGAAGAAGATGGACACTGTCCTGCATGTGTATTTGTAAAACCCTCCAATGGGAAGAAGATGGACACTGTCCTGCATGTGTGTTTGTGGAACTCTCCAATGGGAAGAAGATGGACACTGTCCTGCATGTGTATTTGTGGAACTCTCCAATGGGAAGAAGATGGACACTGTCCTGCATGTGTATTTGTGGAACTCTCCAATGGGAAGAAGATGGACACTGTCCTGCATGTGTGTTTGTGGAACTCTCCAATAGGAAGAAGATGGACACTGTCCTGCATGTGTATTTGTGGAACTCTCCAATAGGATGGGGATGGATAATTACAACTGTGAAATTTCACACCTGAGTTAGCCAGCTGCAGTTACTGGCTATGATTGTAGTCTTGTTTTCTGTCCTACAATTGCAACTATCAGGTAGATCAATAAAGAAGTCGGTGGAACATGATAATTACATCCATATAGTGACCAGACACTGACCTCTGACCATCTCTATGGCAGGCTATTGTCTCCATCTTGAACTTGCATGTGACCATTTCATCCTCCTGTTACAAATTGGGTCCGAATGCATAGGATACGGATGTAGTTATGGTGGTTAATTAGGCAGGAAAGGAGCCACAGATTGGGAATGTTTGGCACTTCAATTTAAAAATGTCCCATTAATGTTGAAAAAAACCCAACTTCTCTAGATGAAATGGTAGAATTAAGGTATCTCTTAAATTAAGTAGAAACGTTGGAGAGTGGCCCATTCTGTGGTGAAGTCTAACCGATCATTGTGACAGGTTTAGATAATTAGTGTAAAACCACAACTGTCACTGAATTAGAGCCCCACATAGGAGATGTAGTATCCCTATAGTAATTGCTCCTTCTGTCTGTCTGTCTGTCCATGTTGCATTTCTGAAGATTATTTCAGAATGCAAAAACCTAATCTTTTCGAAATTTGACATGTTGATACACTGTCATATGACTAGATGTGAAATAGGGGTTTCAAAGTTCCATGAAGGATAGCGTCAGGAACATGGCGGCCCTTGCTGACTGTCAGTGTTTTAGGTTACTAAAAACACCATTAATTGTCGTCATAGTCACCACCGTCATCGTCGTCTTTCTTATGTCATTGTTGTCAAGGTCATCATCATATACCATATTTTATAATGAAACAAGATCTTTACCACAGCCGATCACATTTGAAATAGTACAAAAATTGACAAATTGCTTTGAATTGAGTATTGATAATTCTGTGATTTTGGTGGATGATTCAGATGCTTCTGAGATATGCCCATTACTGATTTAGTAAGGGACTATATGATAAGCCTTTGTGAATGCTGAAGTGCCGAGGGTTATCTTGGTATGATGGTTAATCAATCACAGCTATGGTAACTAGTGCAAAGTACAAATTAAAGTGTGGTTATATAGCTATATAGACATAATGGTGTCGTGATCAGGTATTTTAGTTATACCCAGCTCTGCATTGATCGAGTCACTAATGGCGGGTTTACTGAAGCTTATGATTGACTTAAGGAAAAAATATAATGTTGCAGTTGTTTGATAATCACACATAGGTGTAACGGGCATCACTCCTCCTAGCGTGACAGACTTCTAATAATGTAGGCCAATTACACGTCATTTGTGTAAGATGTATATACAGACTAATGTCAAAATTGCTGTCTGGAAATACATATATACATATGTATGTTTGGTTATAAAAGAAAGTAGATGAACTGTTGTATTACTATGCTCAATAACCAGGATCCATTAACACACATAGACAGGCTAACTTAGACCTGGATTCAAAATATCAGATGTTTGCCATGAACTGACAGACCCGACTCAAACAATGATTTGTTAACGTTAGCTTGTTCAGAACCAAGGACACAAATGATGTATCAATGTTAAATATTTCAAAGAAATAATATTGACATTTCATGCATCTAGAAATACAAAACTTGAAGAATTAAATTTTAAACATTCAATTTGATCAGTATCACCTTGGTTTTCTTAATTTATTCTGAAAACAAAATAAAGATTTGTCACCTATGTGTATAAGAGTTAAAAAGTGGCATACATATACAGGGTCTTACATGAGTTTCCATTTCATATGAGATTTATGAAACGAGTCTAAGAATTTTTCAATTTAGCAAGTGTAGGATCCTTTTTATCACATATTCAAGATTTGTGGCATTTATTCGTGTAGAACGACAATTTTCATGCAACCTTGAAATGTAAAAAGCTGCCATTTTTACTCCTGTGTGTAAGTCTGTGACGTCATGTATTTGTCCTAGGCGTAACATCACAATTAAAACAATTAATTGAAATTTACAACCAATCACAGGGCTGATAGGTCATATTACATAGGTTAATACGCCAACAAATATGACATGGGTATATTCACTGGATAACACAGTACATTATGTGATACAAGTAATTACTTCATTCCTACCTCAAACGAGTCCTATCTTTGTTCTTTGCCCTGATCTGGCTCCTATATGAAATATACTACATACAGGATATGATGGATGTTTGGATCTTTAATTCTCGTATGGAATGTTAACATGTTGTCTTCCTTGTTATTTTAGTGTCTCCTTCATCTAATGAGTAGACCTGTTAACATTTTTTCTATTTCTTAAATTTGTTTTTTATTTTGTACTGTATGGAAGATGTTTTTTCTTCATAAACACGAGAAATTGTTTTTCTTTGTTTTAATATTTAATCTTGTTTCCCTCCAGAATGAATGTGTACCATCATCACAACATACTGCACCAGATACAGGAAATGGAGTTTATTGACTCGCCAGAGTTTGAATCTGGTGTCAGTGGCGATGAGAAGTATCAGGTAAATGTGCATGCTGTATACATCTATATTTATTTATCACATATTATGTACTGTGTTATCCAGTGAATATCAACCCATGTAATATGACCTATCAGCACTATGATTGGTTGTAAGTTTCAATTATTTCAATTGTGACATCACGCCTAAGACAAGTATACATGACATCACAGACCTACGCACTTGAGTCAAAATGGTGGCTTTTTTTTACATTTCAAGGTTGGACAAAAATTGTCATTTTACATGAATAAATGCCACAAATCTTGATTATGTGATAAAAGGGATCTTTCACTCATTTTCATTTCATATGAAATTGATGAAACTCGTCACAAATTTTTCATTTTAGCTTTGCCAGAGGCTCGCTAAATTGGAAAAATTCTGAGACTTGTTTCATGAATATCATATGAAATGGAAACTTGTGTAAGATCCTATATATATGCAAAATATTTTGCAGATTTTTTTTTTTTTTTTAGCATTAAACTGGTTCCTACATAGAGCTACTTTCCAAAAAATCTATAGAGGTTTTCCGACACATGATTAACACCATAGCACTTGTACTAATTAATTGTTGTTTAGATTGATTGGACTACAATGTACCACAATAACATTGTTTAGTTTAGTACTTACGTTTAGCTTTTTCAGTTAATTTTGATTAATCGGTAGATACTTGAATCTTGTATGTGTTCATTAAATATGTGGTTGATTTTCAATTAATGGAACAGCCAACATTCTCCATCGTTATGATCATGAAGTCAAAATTATAAAGTCATCAGGAAAATAAGTAATTATATATTATTGATTTGTGTAGGAATTTATAGAGGCATTATGTAGGGCATACGGAAACTAGTAAAACAGGAATTTGACATTAATTACAAGGCTAATTCTCCATTTTAGGAGGCACGGTTAAGTGTAGTGGTAGGACTGTAGTGGTTGCAGGTTCCACTCACGACACAGCACTGTGTTGTATCTTTGAGCAAGATACTTTACTGCGTTTGTTCCAGTCTACTCAGCTGTAAATGAGTATGCGGTTGGGCAGTGCTAGAATTGTAGAATGCTTGCTGTGAGCGCCGAAATGGCAACAACGGCTGTATAATGCTCCCCAGGGAGTTTGAGAAAGATATTGGCTGGTTGCAATGGCCCTATAACAACGGATAATAATTTATAAACCACTTTGAGACAATCTACAAATTAGGTTGTGATAAAGCGGTATATAAGAACCTCAAATTATTATTATTATTATTTTACACTGGGGCCCTGGCAGGTGAATCAGAAATTTTGTTCAAATGATGTGGTGTCAATATTACCTTGCCCATTTAATGGTTGTACAGTTGACAAAATTGTTTTGTCCTATTTAGAAAAAAATAAAAATGGTGGAGGATGAGTTTTTGAGTTTGACTCTTTAGGATTGGAGGTAAACCATCAAACAGTTTAGAATTTTAAAATGTTTCCAAAGAAAAAATATTAAAAGACATATTCAAATGATGGATACCTATTTATTTTGATTATATTTTGATTGATGTGTACATTTCTCTTTTTCGGTATATTCTCTTATATAGGACTGAATTCTATATTTGCTTTTTGTTTTAGGTGTCTATTTATGCTGTGGCCACCTGCCGTTATATCTTCTGGCCTCGTCAAAGCCTGGAATACCTGCTGATAAAGGAACCGTACCTGGCCAATGTCATCAATGCCATGCTCGGTCGTGACATCACCACCAAACTCTACGCCCTGAATGAAAAGGTATATTTTCAGCACACCATAAAGAGCTCTTGGTTGATTTTCTTTTTCCTTTAAACACATGGTTAGATATTTGGAGTAGGAACAAAAATTATGAACACCTTTCATTTTTCCTTTAACAGTGTAATGATAGAAAGGCATATCTATATTGAGACTTTTTTTGTTAATCTTTAAACAAAAATGTGAAGAAATGTTTCCTATATTTGTTATACAATTTGTATTTAGTTATGATACAGTTTAACTAAATTTTGTTTATTCTTGTAGTTCGAGGCTACACCCTGACATTTTTGTTTTAATGTACTTGCTCTTTTAACCCATCAACCCCTGTAGACCATAATGGACTCATCCAGATGAATTTATGGTAGAGTCTACCCAAGTTACCTAGGGGTGAAAGGGTTAACTCCATGGCAGGAATTTTACATTCCTGTCATTGATTCTAGAAGGAATTCAAAATAACAGAGAAATACAATTATAAGGGGTATATCTACATAATGGAATAGTAGTACATGTACTAGGTTGTGTTTGAAATTGCGTAGATAGGTATTTGACTCTTTTGCATAACAAATGTGTGTGTCTGTCCTTGTCTATAACAGGACACAATGATAACAGCACTTGTCATAACATCAAGGCAATATATATGTTATCTATGCAAGATGCAACATTCCCCAAATCTGTTCAAAGTGAAATATCTATTTTTGAAGTTTTGGTGTTTTTATCTCCATGCAAATGCTATTACATAAATATTGCATGGCATTTTTAGGTCACCTGAGACAAAGTCTCAAGTGACCTATTGCGATCGCCTTTTGTCCGGCGTCGTCCGTCGTGCGTCCGTAAACAATTTACATTTTCGACTTCTTCTCCAAAACCCCTAAACCAATTTCAATGAAATTTTGCAGAAACCTTCCATGGCCAAAGGTCAACTAAAATTGCGAATTATATGGCCCCCAGCCCCCAGGGGCCTGAGGGGCGGGGCCAAAAAGGGCCAAATTGACTAAAATTTCAAAAATCTTCTTCTCAAGACCCAGATATGGTAGAATCAAATACTCTTCATAGATGGAAGGGTCTTAAGGTGCTTTACCAAATTTGTGAATTTCATGACCCTGGGGTCTCACGTTTCCCCCTGGGAAGGGGGTAAACTTTACTATAGTTTACATAGGGAAATTACATTTAAGACTAACATTTGTTTAATTGCCATTGGAAGTAATTCAATTTGGGTTAGCATTATCAGTATTGGATAGCAGTTTGATGGTATGCACATATCAGCCCTGACTGACCCCCTGGGGCTGATAAGTGGGGCCAAAAAGGGTTGAAGTGACTGAAATTTCAAAAATCTTCTTCTCAAGACCCAGATATGGTAGAATCAAATATTCTTCATAGATGGAAGGGTCTTAAGGTGCTTTACCAAGTTTGCTAATTTCATGACCCTGGGATCTCAGGTTTTCCCCTGGGGAGGGGGTAAACTTTACTATAGTTTACAGAGGGAAATCACATTTTAGACTAACATTTGTTTAATTGCCATTGGAAGTAATTCAATTTGAGTTAGCATTATCAGTATTGGATAGCAGTTTGATGGTATGCACATATCAGCCCGGACTGACCTCCCGGGGCTGATGGGTGGGGCCAAAAAGGGTTGAATTGACTGAAATTTCAAAAATCTTCTTCTCAAGACCCAGATATGGTAGAATCAAATACTCTTCATAGATGGAACGGTCTTAAGGTGCTTTACCAAAATTGTGAATTTCATGACCCTTGGGTCTCGCGTTTCCCCCTGGGGAAGGAGGTGGGGGGGCAAAATTTGTTATGGTTTATAATGGCAAATGATACTTTGAATATTACATGTTGATAACTTGATTGGAATTATAACCCTAAGTTGACAGTTTGATACTTTGTAAATTTTGAGCCATCCCTACCCCCAAGGGCTGTAGGGTGGGGCCCAATGGAGTCTGTGTGCTAAAACAAAATTTCTTCAATTTCCTTGTTTAGAATCAGAGGTGCTAATTTTAAATACTTTTCAGTCTTAAATTTGCATGCTAGATATTGAATTAGGTGGTTTTATTGTTTTTTGTCACTTTGAATAATATTTCTGTTCATGTTAAAAACAAAAATCAACTCTCTGTGTAAACATATCAGGTGACCGTTAAGGCCCATGGACCTCTTCTTTAGTATGACGTTCAACCATTCATAATGTATTAATATTGGTAATAAAGAGAAAATTAGATCCCAGGAAAATACCAGATGTAAGCAATGTTGGTCACTGACATTCTTCTAGACATATTAAACATAGCCGACACTGGAATAAGAGGTAAAACCCTGTGGTTTAAAGTCTGGTTACCTTACCTTAATAAAGTTTTAAAATATTATTTTTGAGAAAGAATAAAATTTAACAAATATTTAACAGGTTCTTTTTCAATTTCTTCTCCATTGACAAACATTTCCAATCCCTTAACATGCATTTTTTATTCTGAATTGAATATCTTTTAAAACTTGAAAAGTTTGCACTTATTTGTAGTCAAGATGACATTTGTTGGACAACTCATCTTCACTCGCAACGGGTAATTACGATCTGGTACGATCAGGTCTACTGAAGAGAAATTAAGGTAGACTGGATCCTACTGGATCGTAACCCTTGGCTAGCGAAGATGTGGACAACTAGCTATAGGCCCAGATCAATACTACAGCATACCTGTACAGGTAGCCGAGTCTTTTCTTTGCTGTCATCAGTATCCTGTTTGTGTCCTATATATGTCTGACATAAAAAGAACGATGACCAGGTGTACTTGGTGAAAACATACATTTATGTAGCTAGTCGTAAAGCCGAGGAATGAAATTACGCCACTTGGTTGCCTGGCTTTTGCAATAAACTGTCGGGAAATGTCGTTGTGTACTGAACTCGGAACGCTAATAGCGTGTGACATAATTAGCTTGATATCAATTTCAAAATTGACCCCATATGCAATTTCCTTCACAACATGCCTGATCATTTCATAAGAACCTGTAATATGATGTTTCAGTAAAAATGTCATGTTATGCTTATAATGGTTTTCATTTAGACTAATTTCTGTTGGTGAATTGTTTTGTGCAATTGAGATGATCAATATTTCAGCATCACTGATCTTATATTGTGGCAAAGAGGAATATTAAATCTTTGATGAATTTGCAAAGCAGGTGTAATTTTTTGTTTTGTATAAAAAACTTTTGATATTTATTTTTTCCAGAAATTTTATTGAAGTTTTTGGAATCTCATGATCATTACTTAAGTTGTAAGCTTCATACCTGAAAAGATCACAGGATCAATTATTATTAAAAACATTTTAAATATAAAAAAGTAAATTACAGTTGTGGGACCGCACAACGCACCAAAAATAGCGTGCGCACACCGTGCATACATCGTTCACACACCGTCCGCACATCGTCCACATATGGTGCGCACAACTGTGCGATTTAGCAATCGTTCGCCCCGTTGTGCGCTTCTCTCCGCACAACTGTGCGATTTGGTATCATTTGTAGATCAAAATTACGGAATGACAAATATACGGAAGGCTTGTATCCGATAATGTACACTGTGTATNGGAATCAGAGTTAAAATTAAGATACAGTATCTATTTTTTAAAGTTTGCTTTGTTGAAATCATTCATCATTGAAAATATCGCTGATTGTAAAATGTTTAAAAAAAATTAAACACCACAATATAAAATTGAAATACAATGTATCTTATATCAAACTTTACACAGATGAATTATAAGTCTAATAAAATATATCAAAGTGAGAAACCTGTCTTATCTGACCCTGAGTTTTCTGAAATCCTATAAAATTAAACATGATGTAATGCATATCTGATAGTACCAAACAAAACCTGTGAATTTGGACCTACTGTGCAATCTGAATTATATATTGTTTCCTGCAGGGTGTCAGATTAGACAGTTTTCAATGCAAAAAAACTGTATCATGAAATTTCATAAAAAAATAAATAATAAAAAGGCACAACATGCAAATTCCAAATAAAATAAAAAGCAAAAAAGCACTTTTTGAAAAACTGCACTTTAAAATAATTGAGTTAACTTATTTTTTTTCTTATATATCAGTGATTGAACTTAAACACTGTAATGTTTAAATGCCATTCTAAATAAAACATTCTGTTAAAAATTGTGATCAAGGATGCAAATAATGGCTGTTATATGATAGGATGTGCCATGTTATAATTGAATTAAATCCATCAACAGGGATATATACTGAAGATATTTTCAGAGATTATTTGTCTTAAATTGAGTTATCGTGTTTGATGTTCCATTCCAGTAGTCTGATATAGAAAACTCTCGATAACACTCTCCCAATCTGTGTTGAATTATCATGTCAAATAACTATTCAGTTCAGTATTTGAATTTCATGTTAACAAAATATGGTTATCTCGGTTTAATGATTAAAATTGCCTCTTTTAGATTCCAAGTTTATCATTCACAGTACAAGTTTCCTTGCATGTATTGAGGTCGTAATTTGATTTGACAGGATGACTCGAGATCGGCTTATATCGGCTTTTCAAATATTGTTATATACATTGAAATAAATTGTGTTTAGATCAATACATCAGTATCTACCACGACTAATAAAAAAGAACACTTTTCATTCAACCTGGAGAAAGTTTTTTTGATGATTTTTGGTTTCTTTATTTTCAAACCTCTCGTGACATTTTCAACATTTGTATCAAGTATTTGACATTTTTTTTGAATAATTAATGAACCTGACTAGTTTCAAGATATAGAGCTGACAGGAATGGTTTTATTTTGTCGGTTTGTGATACTGCATGATCCTAGACATGCACAGACAATTCTCTGTAGAACACTTATATAGCAGATTGTCAATAGCATTAACATAAATGTCTTTTAAATCTACCTTCCCAATATCTATGTCACGTACCCTGTTAAAATACTAGCCGCTTCCTGCACCGACTTGGCTAGGGGGAATTTCTCTTTAGCTCATTCAGTAGAGCGTAAGACTAGTAAGCTAGAGGTCCCGGGTTTGACTCCTAGCGGTGGCATTGAAAAAATAATGACCTCTGTTACATTGGCGCCCACGTAGGGACCCGGGAGATTTGACAGAAGTACTCGGCGATACTTGCAAAGGAATCGCTTTGACCCTGGGAAACTCGGGACAAGTTCTTTCCTGGAGGGGGAGTATGTCACCCTGGTAAAATACTAGCCAATTCCTACCGACTCGGCTAGGGAGAATTTCTCTTTATAGCTCATTCGCTAGAGCATAAGACTAGTAAGCCAGCTAGAGGTCCCGGGTTCGACTCCTGGCGGAGGCATTGGAAAAATAATGACCTCCGTTACATTTGTGTTCTCATTGAAACTTTTTTGTTGTTTTATGCAAGTTATATTTCATCACTGTATTCTTTGTCAAAAATAATAAAAGAAAATTAAATATGCATCTCATTTTGTTTTTTCGAAGCTGTTACATTTTGTATTTATGAAATCTGTTTAAAAAAATAATTTCATGCCCATGGATTGGTCAAAAGTTGTGTCTATCTGGTATCATGGTAAAAGAATGTTGGTTGTTTTTGAAGGTTAATCTGTAATAAATGCTTAAATTTTGATAGAATTTTAGGTATTGATATTGATGAAAGAAAACTTTCAAACATTCATTTTGCAAGTTTTTTTTCTGTATTCAGATTTATTGATCAGGAAAAAATATTAGTTTCATGGAAAATGAATAATATTTAGAATCGCATGGAAACAAGTTTAATAAAAAAAAGTTTACAAACAGACCTTTGAATACATAACACCACCATCATTGCTTTAATGTGTTCACATGAAGGAAATATATTTTGGGATCTATTTCTTTTAAATCAAAACATGTATCTGCATGTCTTCAGGTGACGTCCCCCAAGGGAGCAAGGATGGATATTCGCCTACCTACTGTATCGTCCACTATCAAAGCTAAACCAGATCTCCGGAAAACAGTGGTCGGAATGATTGAGGATCTGTCTCAGAACGAGGCTAGACATAACGGCAGCAGGTCTCCAGGCAATACAAAGGATGTTGCCGAAATCAACAATCTGACGCGGCCGAATATAGAAGAGGAAGAAGAAGAAGACCCGTATTTAGACGGTATGTGGAGTGTTGATGAATTAGGTACCGTATTCAGTCTAATAAACCTTCACCAATGTATTTACGTCTGACTTTTCGTTGACTTGACAAATGCTTCATAATCTCTCTATCTATATAAAAGCTATAGTAAGATCAATTTGGTGTAACAATCTGATTAGACCGAGTCTTTCCGATTGAGAATGATGTTTATTATATTGATTACGGTACTTTGTAAAAGATCACTTTTGTTTTGTTTGAGCATGTAAAAGATTTATTTTTGTTCATTTAAATGAAGAACTATATCAAGGTAAGTGCATGCAGGCAAAACTCCTTTGAACTAGAAAAGTTTACCGGAACAAGACATTTCGCCACATGTCCACTTGATATACATTGAATTCAAATTGGGAAATAGAGGAGGCGGTGATGGTTGTAATGCTTCAACTGGTTTTTGTTTGATGTTTGATTTATTATTTATAAGTTTTATACAATTTAAATGGGTTCCAGCCGCATGGTTTTCATACTTTCAATCATTTTTAACCCAGTTCACCGCTGTTGACCATAATGGACTCATACAGATAAATGCATGGTAGAGTCTACTAAAGTTACATAGGGGTGAAAGGGTTAACCTATATTTGTTTCAGACTCCATTAGACACATGAGGCAATCACAATATCAGGACATTTAGGTATTGTTGTATTATAATAAGTTTTAGTTGTTCATTATTTCATAAATTTCTCACACAAGCTTATAGAGTTAATTGGTGAAACTCTATGATCACAGTAGAATGTTGTATCTCAATACTGTGTTTAGTCTTTCGTGAAATAAAGACATTCCTCTGTTGTTATGTCAAGCACCGGTTTAAACTTTAGGTGCCTGGAACAAGGAGTCCTGATATTGGTACAATGTTGTGTGTTTTGTTACAATTTTGGATCTTAAATAGTTTTGGAGAAATTTTTCCCTTGTAATATCTTACAAAAAACTTCAAAAGGTGAAGAAAAAATTTCTCTGGTCAGGTAATGGTATCCGGGTCGATAAGTTTTTTGGAACTTTGCTGGGAGTACGGATACCAAGGTCAAGTAAAGGTATCCGGGTTGATAAGTTTTTGGGAACTTTGCTGTGAGTACAGATACCAAGGTCAAGAAAAGGTATCCAGGTTGATAAGTTTTTGGGAACTTTGCTGTGAGTACGGATACCAAGGTCAAGTAAAGGTATCCGGGTTGAAAAGTTTTTGGGAACTTTGCTGTGAGTACAGATACAAAGGTCAAGAAAAGGTATCCAGGTTGATAAGTTTTTGGGAACTTTGCTGTGAGTACGGACGGATACCAAGGTCAAGTTAAGGTATCCGGGTTGATAAGTTTTTGGGAACTTTGCTGTGAGTACAGATACAAAGGTCAAGAAAAGCTATCCGGGTTGATAAGTTTTTGGGAACTTTGCTGTGAGTACGGATACCAAGGTCAGGTAAAGGTATCAGGGTTGATACGTTTTTGGGTATTTCGCTGTGAGTACGAATACCAAGGTCAAGTAAAGGTAACTGGGTTGATAAGTTTTTGGGTACTTCGCTGTGAGAACGAATACCAAGAGGTATGCTAAGTGGTTAAAGAGGAATTAAATACCAAATAAAACCCTTAAAAAAACCTTTCATTTACCTGATGTTATTCACTCGTCATTTAAAGGAGATGTGTTTGGAGGATGTCCATACTTCGATTGTATTCATTACTTTTGATTTTAATGCGTTTGAGTATGGCGACTGTGTGGAAAGATTATGAAAATCAAACCATGCTCAAAGATGGCCTGACCTGCGTTCTAAACAGACAATATGAGTTTTTTTCCAGTTTTATGGTGCCAAAACAACACGAAATACAACACATTTATTTTATTCGGTGCCACAATATTCACTCTGTCATGTTCTTAATCCACTTGAGATCCTAGAAATGACTGGCCTCGACTGAGACTTTATCCCAGAGTTGTTAGAGGCTGTATAATGATAGGGGAATCTGGGGCAATAATGCAATTTCAGACTTTTATTTTTTATAAAACTGGTTATATCAAATGTCAGGGATGTTTGTGCATGGAGCTGGCGGAAAAGGGATTCTGTTTATAAGTTTTGTTTTTATGGAATTTGTATCAAAATGCTGAATGAAAGAATCAAAACATTCTGTTTAGAAAAGGCAAACAACCAATACTGCCCTCAGCTAAAGTTTGGTTTTTAGTTTAGAGATCTCAGAGACCAAGTTTGATCTGTCGTCTTAAGCCGTAAAATAATAGCATCACCCTGATATTGCTTAAATTCAGGCAGCCATTTTATAATGGAAGACATGAATTTTTCTCTTTATTATTTTTCTTTTTTGTTCTTTTTTGTTCTTGAATGTGTGAATTAAATGCTTAGCATGAATTTACTAAAGTCTCCAGTAGGAGAACAAATTCACAACTTGTGGGCAGTATAACCCCAGGTTGATAATTCAGCTGTGTGAAAATTCTACAGTTTACTGTATATGCTGAGGTAATTACACTTGTTATATATAATGGCTATGGTCTATACTGAACTCTGGACCTTATTTGATGTGTCGCCCACAAGTCAATGAACCTTCCATTGAGACCTGTTCTTGGGTAAAGGAAGTGGTTAGGTGTTGTAGATGACCAGACGACCTCAATCCCTCACATTAGTCAGTAGCTTCATAGCACAAGGGCGTTTTTTGGTATATTCATCACCTTTCTGGTAATTTTTATTAATTAGATCATGTCTGAAAACAGTATCCAAATTTGTTCTTCAAACTTACAACAACTTAAGTCAATCTTTTTAAAGGAGTCCTTTTTAGGAGTTTAATAGCTTTCTGATATCAAGAAACATCCATGCTGTTGTCATGGAAACTGACCGAAAACATGTAGATTTCTGGAGCATATCTCAAAAAAAACAAAAACTCACAATACATGCAGGTTTAATTTTCAAACTTGACACATGATTCAATCAAACTGTAGAGGGATGGATGGTTTGTGGTAGTTTTTCATTTTAGATTTCAAGAACTTTGGAATTATCACAGATTCTATAACACTCAGAAATATACTTTTTTTGTGCATATTGGCAATTCCATGGCAATCTAAAAAAATCTTTCTCAAAATTGCTATATAAATCAACCTCAACACAAAGGAACGTTTTTGCTGTTCAAACTTTTTCGAATTAGTTCTTTTTTCGGGTAATCTTCAATTTTTTAAAACAAGCTCATGTTTATCCAAAATCTAGATGTTTTCACTTTTAGGAGGTAGTGGAGTTCAAGGATATTTATGACAACATTTTTTTTATAAATTCCTTCCAGTTTGATTCAGTATGTGAAAACGAATATGAGAAGTAAAATTAAACTAGAACATTTGTTGATGATTTTCGACTGCATTGGTTTTAGTGATGAATTAGAAATTTGTTATCTTAGTTTTAGTAATGGATGAGAAATTTGTCATCTTGTTTGATGTGTCAATAAGATATTATTAAAGACTAAACATAGATGAACCAATGACAACTAAGCCTCAAGCTTATTTTATATATATAGGATGTGTTATCGCTGATCGGCCATAATTTTATATATATAGGATGTGTTAATTCTGATCGGCCATTATTCAAACAAACTCTATGCTCAACATTTTTTCATCACAGTGTTCCTAAATTCAGGAGCTCAAAGTTGGAGCATATTCTTGATTCTAGCTGAGACACCAATCTTCAATAGATTTACTTCCCATCCTGATGCTTACCCATATTTGTCCTGCTAGGTGGACTGGAACAATCAAGTCGACATGTTTTAGGTTTAAAAAATTCAGGGGCTTGATCATTAAGAAACTAAGAGCTGGTGCGTGAGCATACCCTTGATTCTAGCTGAGACACCCAATCTTAAATAGATTTACTTCCCATCCTGATGCTTACCTGTATTTGTACAGCTAGGTGGACTGGAGCAATCAAGTCAAAGTGTTTTAGAATAAACATAATATAATGGGACATAATGTTTAAATCTCAGTAACGGAACATTCTGCCAAAGTGGGCAAAGCTTAACTGCACATTCAATATTCAATATACCCTGTGCAAAATTTCTTACAACATTCACCTGTTGTGTTACCTGTCATACAACATTCACCTGCTGTGTTACCTGTCATACAACATTCACCTGTTGTGTTACCTGTCATACAACATTCACCTGTTGTGTTACCTGCCATACAACATTCCCCTGTTGTGTTACCTGTCATTCAACATTCACCTGTTGTGTTACCTGTCATACAACATTCCCCTGTTGTGTTACCTGTCATACAACATTCCCCTGTTGTGTTACCTGCCATACAACATTCACCTGTTGTGTTACCTACCATACAACATTCAACTGTTGTGTTACCTGTCATACAACATTCACCTGTTGTGTTACCTGCCATACAACATTCACCTGTTGTGTTACCTGCCATACAACATTCACCTGTTGTGGTACCTGCCATACAACATTCACCTGTTGTGTTACCTGTCATACAACATTCACCTGTTGTGTTACCTGTCATAGAAGACTTTTCCTGAAGTCTCACTATGTCTCCACAGTCTATCCACAAGTGTCATTATATTTCATTATGAGTATTGTTATGGAACTCAGCAGCCTGTACTGACTATAGCTAGCTGTAACTTGTATGGGGTTCTTTGAATGGTCAGCTTCAGTATTGGATAAAGAAGTGCTAAATGTACAATTTATTACCACAGTTAATCCTTTCATCACTGTAGACCATAATGGACTCATCCAGATCAATATATGGTAGAGTCTACTAAAGTTACTAAGGAGTGAAAGGGATTATGACAAATGATCATGCAGTATCTTATTAACATCACAGATATAACCGTCTACAATATCGTCTGTAAAATAAGTTTAACCTATGCGTCTCTCCAAATCCTTGAAACAAACATGTACACAGGAAACGGAGATATACATGTTCCTTGGCCTAACAGATTGTATCAATCATTACAGGTGCATTACGTAAGTGGTCTTGCCTCAAATAAAATTCAACTT